ACACACACACACACACATTTGTGGAAGAAGTCCTTTACTTGTAAGATGTGTATTTTGTTGATGCAGCTATAGAGATTTAATTTTATAAATAACTTTATTATCTTATCCTTGACAGTAGTAGTGGTCTGTATTTATGTGTGACATGTATATTCACATTTATGTGTATTATCTTTAACTGTTTAAGGAAAACATTTTATCATAAGTCAACCATCGGTGGTTCAAATTGTGGATGTTTAAAATTGGAAGATAAAAAGTTTAATCTTTTTGATAGATTCCCATTTTCTCAGATTACGGTAGTTTAATGACAACATTCAACTACATGCTGCTCTATAAATAAAGAAATCCCTTTTAAATGTCAAATATATATAATAATCCAATTAAACAAGACTATAGCTATAGCTTAGTTCAATTTTTTATCCAACAGCAGCAACATCATGAGCTTATCTCATACTAAATGTCTGCAAAACAACTTGTGAGTTTTCCCTTTGAAATAATTTTAGAAGGAAACTGATTCTGGTTCAAATGTAGTACAGAAAGAAAAAATAAAGTAGCTAAATAGAGACCAATGTCATTAAATTGTATTTATAAATAAGCTAGTAAAGCCAATAACAGCATGCCTTGGCCAATATAAAAACACAAATACACACACTCACATAGACACAGGCTCATACATACAGGCTTACTCTAAATCTCATTTACAACTCATGAACACCCATCCATCCTCTCTCACAGTAAACACACCTCATTAAACCCCCCTCCTCCTTGTCTCTTCCTTACTTCCCTCCATCATTTTCCTTTCACCTCTCAGCTCCTTACACAACAGCCTTTCTTTTTTTTCATCTTAACACAGCACAGATTAGCACCTGTTTTACTATGCATGGAAGCACGGAGCAGAAGCACTCGTTTAATCACAGCTACACTGGTATTACCCTGCCACTCAGCAACAATACATGTGTTTGCCTGCCATTTTCCTCTTCCTCGTGTGACACTCACACGCCACTGTGTCTCTCTCTGCCCCTAACAGCTACTCAATGACTCTCTTGAATATTTAGAGGAGAACAGTGACAATCCGCTGAAACGAAAATCGCCCTACATTCTGAAGAGGCAAGCGACGCACACCACCAAGTCCCGGAGGCCGTACATCTTAAAACGAAGTACAATTTACTGACAAACCATCCCAGAGAGGATCAGACCATATACTTTCTGTGAAGATGTGATTGTGTTTTTTTCTCTGTTCTCGTAGCTGCAATGTTTTTTCTTTTCCCATTGTCGTTTCTATCCAGTCAGATCCTTTGATTGTATGTCCAGCATTGAGGCCTGCCTGTATTTTTGCTCCTCTCAAGTAAAGGTTCTGAAAATAAAATCTTGAGCGTCAAGCAAATAGTGTATCTCTGAGAAACTGTATTTATTTACTCTATTTCTTCACTGCACACTAAGTCCTATTTTCTTTCAGGATATGAGTAAAGGATTCATGATACAAAACCAGTTTGATGTGATGATCTTTTCTTTCATGAAACTGCTTTCTTAAACTAGTTTACCAACTTTCTCTCTCTAAGCCCTTCTCACCCACATGTTTACCACAGGGCTGGAACTACATACTACTCAGTCCTGCGACCAGAAGTACTAACCCAAAACCAAATGTTTATTAATTTGCAGCTGTAATTAAACCCCCAAAATGGCACTATTTACTTTTATTTTCATTAGTTGTAATCACCTAAAAATAAGAATCTTCTTTTTGTTACCTCAGAATGAGCCTTTTTTTAATCCGAGACGCTATGGGTTGCCTATTATGGAGGCCGTCATGTTGAACCTCCATGTTTCTACAGTAGCCCAGTACGGACAAACCAAACACTGCCTCCAGATAGGGCCGTTCTTTCTTTTTGTGAATTTCGTGGCCACTGTTTCTCCTACATGCTTGGAAGGGGAGGATAAAGAGAAGGAGTTGTAATCTGTACCGCTGCCATTAAATCCTACACACTGCCCCTTTGATGAACAGAAATATGAAATAACACCAACATTAGTCTTATTGTAATTATTGTATTTTTTGTTATTTCTTGCCTAAAATTCAGAATCTGTTTATTTAAAAATTTGTCACTTTTAAACAAATTGTTAAAATTTGGTATAGGAAGAAATGGTTGAAATGTTTACCTGTGGACACTCATGTTATTATTCCCATAAGATTCACTGCCGCCTGATGCTTACCTTCTTCTACAGTGTTTCTTTATTAAAGGGATTCTTGATTTTGTGCCTCACAAAAATATTATAAATCAATCCAGCAGATTTAGTTAGATGTTGTAAATCCACTGGGAAATAACATATTTTTCACAAATCTGTAAAATGAGGATAAGAAAAGCCCAGTAGATGCTGCCAGTCTGATAGTGATATTCAATACTACAGTCATGTCTGGAAATTGAATGATTCTTGATGTTACAATTCAGCGCATCGCACCCTTAACATAAACATACAACAACAACACGCATTGGGTCAGAGTGTGCTCTTCTTAGTATGAATGGTGTAAAACATTTATTTAAAAGGGCACGAAGGCACTTCGACTGCAGCAGATAAAACAGACTTTGACTGCGGTGAATGAGAGTCTTGGCCTTAATAAATGGCAGTTTCATCTCCAAATCAAAGTGCTTTGGTGTCCTTCTTTGAAACTCTGCTCTTCACCCTGACAGACAGAAAGCCTGGATGAAGTGCAGTGCACAGAGAAACACGCTTTCAACAGCCTCGTTCTTTTTCTCCAGAGAAGGTTAGCTGCAGGAAAAACATTCATACTCTTATACTCTTTCCCATCAGCATTCTGCTACATGTGTAGCTTTGCTTGACAAATTTACAGTGGCACCTGCCCAGTTTACATTGTTAGCCACTGAGCAGGTGAGGTAGTATGGTTGGATTTTGGTTTTCAAGGAAAGAAAAAGCATTTGCCTCAGCAGACACTTGACCATGTTTAATTAAAACAGAACATCCTTTTTGATTGTATCTGTGGGTCTTCATCTTTCCCTGAGGCCCACTCATCTAACAAGCTGATTGGTGCCACATGATTATCTACAAATAACTTATTTTGTTCCATCTATAAAGCTAAAGTCAGTAGTTCCCAACCATATACTGTCAATGTTACCAACCTTTTTCTTGAGTAAACAGGCAACCCCTGACTAAAATATTTTTTATGGATATTTCATATAACGTTTAAAGCATAACAATACAACTGACAATGAGATTGTTAAGCAGAGAGTGAAGGCTCTGTGAATATAGCTTGTGTTCAGGTCCTCACCGTGCCCTCATCCTGTGAGAGTTTATATCTTAAATAATAATCTAATTGTCATTTAGTTTTCTTCACAGAAATGAGTGAAATGTTGTTTAGTTTTCCTAAGGATCAAAATTTTGTTCGTACTACTACCCACTAACATTATTATTACACATTGATCTCAGAGTCAGTGGTGGTCAGTACACCACATTGTAGTATAGAGCATGCCGATAGTTTTACTGTGTTCTGACGTTTTATGTGTCCTCACTATTAACAGATTTCAATGGGACTATTTTTTGGTAGGAAAATTAAATGAAAACAATTCTTTGAGCTCGAGAGAAGAAAATGACATCCACCTCCATTATACTGACAGCAGAGATCTCAGAGACAGATATCTTAAACATCAGCAGGTAAAACTCTAACTGCACTGCTACATACCATTAGATGTGAGGCAGATCAACCCTTTGTTATTAAAAAGCAACATAAAGAGAAAAAGACACCACAATGGTTAAATGCAAAAGATATACAAGCAAAACACCAACAGGACCCAGAATGGCACCTAACATTGTTATCATTAGTATGAAAAGTTTAAGACCCATTTCTGGGTAATCAAATAAATGTACTATTTTTCTTGAATGAATGACCTCCGAGATGGAGCTGAAGAGTAGGGAAAGTATGTAATTCAGACACACAATAAGCAATATTCAGGTCAGCAAGATGTGGGCACACATAAATGGCATTTCATTTAATCACACTGACCCCAGATTCAAATTACATAGGCTCAAATCTGTAGCCATCAGTGTTCTAGCTTTTTCTCCACTTCAGGTAGATATTTATCCACTCAAGTTGCAAAAGTTGAATTGCAAAGCTGCTGTTTAAACTTTCCCTCAACAATTACTGTTAAGGTGCCTTTGAGTCAGACACTTGTAACAACAGTAAATGCTCCAGTAAGCTTCAGTTGGCTCCAGTTAAACTTTGGTTTTGTTGTAAAAAATTGTTCATGTGTAGCAGGAAAAGGGCAAACTTTGCATAAATAAAGGTAAAAAAAAAAAAATACCATAGGCAGCCTCCATTATTATTCCTCTCATGTCAGTGACCACCAACAGTGTATGTGCCCATCACAGGCAGCGGATGGCAGTGTTGTTTAACTAGACCAATGGCCTGATTTACAGTGTGAAGTGTCACAGAAATACAAGTATCCCTTCAGACATAGGAACACATTATTGAAAAACAGGTAGAAAATAAAAACTGCATTAAAAGAAGTCAATTAATTAGATCAGTCTCCTCGAATAACAATAGAAAGTGACTAAACTAAAAAAACACAAGTCTACATTTTCTCAATCTTTTCAATTCAACCTTTTCTCTTTCAGCAACTTCCCGATTCAAATGGAACCAAACTACAGCTCTGACATTAAAGTACCTCAATCAAAGGTTGCTCAGAGGCAGCCTTTTTCTCACCCAGGGCCCTCATCCAGTTCTGCCCAGAGCATGGATGGGACCAGGAACCAAAACTTCAAAGCCTTCAAAGTGACATAGCTCTTTACTCTGCATACAATAGGAAGGGGACACAAAAGGGGGATTTAATATTCTCATTTTAATAGACTTATTTTCGGGTTTTGTAAATGATGAAACGATGTGACAAAATCTATATCACCATCATAACACCTACAAAGAGTAAAAGCAAAAATGAAAGAGGTCGAGTACATCTTCATTTTGATGGTTTTGACAGTGAAAAGGTCAGTGCAATCTGTAGCTGTATGATGTTTCTATTTGGCCTTTGATTGAGAATATGTTAACTGATTAAGACCTTTTACCTAATTTCCCTCATACATAACAAATTTGACTCAGAGTTCCTTTTTTTCTCTGTTAACTGAGCACATTTAGTTGCAGATAATTAGCAGCCCCCCCCCCCCAAAAAAAGAGATACTTTTATCTGGATGCATTAAAAAAAAAAATCACAAAATGTGAAAAATAGGTTATTTCCCCGTGGATTTACATTATCTAACGAAATAATAGCAATGATTATTTGCTCGAAGATTTTTCATTTTAGAGCTCACAGTGAACCACCCAGAGGCACCACAAGTCATTTAGTTACATCTGAAAAACTTAAAAATCCTTGAAGTCTTTGAATACTTAAAAGTGAACAGTCCAAAATTTCACCTTCAAAATAAAAAAAGAAACTTGGCAAAATCAGAAAGAGATTGTGCTATTTCATTCTCTATCCAGGGACTTGCTTGAAGTAATTTTGCTTTTCCTCACCTACAAATGAAAACCTACAATACACTATGTCTCCAGAACAAAAGGACTAAGTCACAGCTGGGACAACAGATCCTCACAGCAGAAAATGTTGGAGGTCTCTTGAATATGTGAAGGTGTGTGTGCGTGGTTAAAAAAGAAAATATCTATAACCATATTGTGAAATACTACCTTAATAAAAGTTCAACATTAGAGAACAGAATCTTAATCCTTAGGGAATCCTTTTGACAACCCTAACTCGTCTAACCCTTCATGTATATATATATATATAGGCAACATACCAGCAGGTGGTAGTACAGTACAACACTAATCCAGGCTTTGGTTGACAAGAGTAAACAGAGACAAGAAAATAACAGTATTTCTTCCAAGAATAATCTTTTGGTTTTCCTCCACCACAATAAATATGGAACTTCTCCCTGTATTCTGCCTAAATAATATCCAGTCAAATTACAGAAAATTGGTCCTGGCCTTAATTCTAACAGACAATGCAGTATTCCTCTAGCAGTGCTTTCCACAACTTGTTTATTTTATTCACATTCTGTAACCTAGTACACTCAGAGTGCCTTCTAAAAATTGACGGTGTAAAGCTTCAGGCTATCTCAGATTAGTTACAATGTCAAGGAGAACTACAGTAGCTTTGCTTTGGATTGTGCCCTGAGCATTGAGGTGCTTAATTGTGATGGTAGCAGGCAGAAAAGCGGCTACAATGATCATTATTAATTTCAAAGGTCATAGTTTCGATCCCCACAACGGCCAGTTTGTGCTCATAAATAAC